GGGTCTGGCCCTGCCAGCGCCCCCTCCTCACCTTGGCTTCGAAGAAGCTCTTGGCCCCCTTGACGCCCTCAGTGGAGACGTCGATCTCAGAGAGGCGGGCCAGCACGTGGAGCCCACTGTCCTCCTGCAGCTCGCCAGCTGCCGCCTTGCGGAAGATCAGGAGGAACTGCGCAGAGAGAAACAGGAGGCGTCAGGGGCCAAGTCCCTGCCATACCAGGCCCAGCCTCAGGCCCTTCCTGGGCAAAAGGCACCTGGACTCTTGCCCCTCTAGGCTCCGTGTCCCTCTCTGGTCCTACCTTTGCCCAACTGTACGAGGGGAGGCTGGATGACCGTCTTTTGCGTGCCTACTGTGTGGTTTCTGCCAGGGACCACCCACCACCCAGAGCCAGGTCGGCTCTGTGCACTGCCAACTTCCAAGAATCCTGGTAACATGTCTTCCAATGCCCCCTACACACATCCCCTCTAAGAATTCCATTTATGGAAGACAAGGGACTTTTCCTGTGCCCATTCTGCAGATAGGAACCATCTTGTCCAAGGGACAGGAAGTGACTGAAGAGGGATTTGAACCTGTGTCCTCCTGACTTCAAATTGTTATCCTACCCAGCCCACAACTTTCTCTCCGGAGGCTCATCCTCCACAAGGACACCCTGCTAACTTTCTCTTTTAGGGCCTCTCCAGAGCTTCGGCCTCAGCCGTGGTTCCTCTAACGCCACCCCCTGGCACATAGCCCTGTGCTGCCTGGGGCCTGGGACCATGGCTATCGGTCTTTAAGCCTCCATTACCTGCTCTGTTCAGAGCTCCTGCCTGAGCAGTGAAGAGAGCAGTGGGGCCATCCTGTCCTTTCTCTCTGTCTCTGCCTCACCTCCCGAGTCACAGCATGGGGCGACATCATGCTCCCCGGTCTCTGCCTCTGCACCCCGATTTTGTGTCCAGAGGGCCCGGCCGGGCCTGGGTGTTCAGTGACCACACACAACATGCTCGTGTAAGGACAGCCCCGTCTCTCGGGACCCCTGGTGGTGGGTGGGGCCTGGCAGCAGGCCTTACCTCCCGGAAGCTGAGCTTGCTGTCAAAGTCCTCGTCCACCTCCTTGATCATGTTCTTCAGGCCCAAGTGGGTCTGGGGGGCCCCGAGCTTCTCCATCATGAGCTTCAGCTCCATGAGGTCGATGAAGCCATCCCGGCCGGCATCATACCTGTGGGCACAGAGCGAGAGCCTGAGGATACCCCGGTCCACCTCACCCCTGCACGGATGAAGACGTTCCCCTGGAAGTATGTGGTGGGACTCTAACCCCAGCCCTGTGGCTCTAATCCCGGTTAGAAAGACCGCTTCATTTATCCTGTTAGTTACATCCTACTGAGTAGGGTCCTAAGTCTAATCACTGCTAAATTATAAAATAGTGGATTCGACACACACACACAAGGATCATCTCCAAGTCCAGGAACTCTGGACCACGGAACGCCCAGGGCTACCAGCCAGGAAGCAAGCTGCCCAGGTAAGACCATTTGGACCTTTCCCCTTCGGCACTGTGCACAATCGACTTCTTTTCTTCAGAGCCCCCGCTGGGGGGTAGGATGGCAGCACCAGGTAACTAAGACACACGTGACCAGCCAGAGCAATCACAGCCTGGACGCACAGAGCTGGGGTGGGGGTGGGGACCTTGGGGAGAGCCTCATCAGCCGGTAGAGTCTGTCTGCTTGGTGATCTCCTCCTCCGAGGAGCTTGTTACCTGGCCCAGCGGTCTGTGTGTTGAGGAGTGCGAACCTGGAGACAAGCTGAAATCGCAGCCCGCTGTACTGAGTGTCACATGGGCAAAGAATTCACGACATCTTGGGGGTGTGGCCTAACCAGAGGGCACGGACCGCCTCAGGGACAGCTGGCCATGGACACCATTGGGACATCCTCAGCACTGTGGTGGTGGGGGGAGGTGTCTGCCTTGGGTGTTGTGGGGTTAGCAGTACTCTTGGTTCCCACCCACTAGAAGCTGGGATCCCCCCCAGGCATGACTATCACAGCTGTCTTCAGAGAGCATCAAATGTTCCCCAGGGGCAAAATTGTCCCCACTCTTGAACCTTGGGGACAGGCATGGAATGGGCAGCCACTTCATGGAATTCACAGCTCCTGTCACGCAGGACCCACGACTCGTCTGTCAGTCTGTCGTGCAGTGGCGGCTTGTGTGTGGCTGTGATGTCGGTAGCTACGTCCGTCAGTGGTATTTCAAATGGCAGCAGGGTCACCCACAGTGGATAGGTTTTGGCGGGGTAGGACCCTCTTTTCTGGGGTCAACTTTATAGTAGCCACTGGGCGTGGGGACGGGAGGAAGAGGACACATTTCAGCACATGTGGAAAGCACCTATCACACATGAATGAATGCATGAAGTCAGACAGGGAGGTAGCAGGTTCCCTGTGGCTTAGGGCAGGACTGGGGCTTTGGGGTGTTATTTTAAGCAGGAGGGGCAGTGTGAAGGCGTGGTGAGGAACAGCAGAGGAGGAACAGCAGAGGAGGAACAGCAGGGACAGACTGTGCAGGGTGTCGGGGTGTGGAGGGAGATCCCACCTGCTGGACGGTTAGAGGCCTTGGCTGGGGATCAGGTCTAACAATGTCCCTTCAGTTCTCTGGCTACTAACTGCCCAGCAGAGATAAGGGTGGGAGTGGCAGGCAGCTTCTCAGTGTCCCTCTACACTGCACTTCTTAGGGCCCTGGCTGGGGAGGTGTCCCCGGGGGCTAGGAGTACACAGCCCGGTAGGCCAGGGCGTTCTGTACACAGCCTGGCTGTTTCCTGCTTATCAGGCTAAACAAACCAACGCCTGCCCGCTCTTCTCTCCAGCTGGCAGGGCGACAGCACTGTGACACCGGGGGCCGAGTTCCAGAAACCTCAGCCATCCTTCGTAAACAACCCATCCCCTCCTTAGCATCTGCGGGGCCCCACCCTGCTCCTGTTCTTCAATATACCAGTCGAGTCAGCTCCAATTCATGGTGACCCTCTGTGCTTTGGAGCCGAAAGGCACCCGGAGTTTCAATGGCTGGAGGATCCCTAGTGGCACTGGGCTGCTCACTGCGAGATCAGCAGTTCAAATCCACCAGCTGCTCCCAGGGAGCGAGATAAAGCTGCCTGTTCCTGCAAAGATGGACAGCCTCGGAAACCCCAGGGTGTTGCTAGGAGCTGGAATGGGAGCCTTCGGAGCACATTGCCAGACCTTTCTTCCTACGCACCCCAGGGGCAGACTCAACCCGCCAGCCTCGTGTCAGCAGCTGAGCCTGCAACCATTTGCTCTACCCAGAGGCTCTGCTTGCTTCCTAAAACCTGTGCCTATGCCTGGGAGCATTCTGTACTTCCTTTTATTTAATTCTCCTAATAACAGGCTTAGGTGACAGTGGTGGCTCAGAGAGGTTGTGTGCCCTGCCAGGGTCACACAGCACTGGATGGACTGACACCCTCAAGTCTGTCTGGCTCATTTTCCACACATTTGCTTTGTGCCCAGTCTGCCCCCAGCCCAACTCCCCGGGTGTGCCTGGGCCTGCCATTTGTGCAAAGGGTATAAATAGTTCCCCAGCTGGTGAGTCACTGGTTGGAAGTGACGCAGCACAGAAGCCACGGGTCTCTGGTGATGCCTGCGGGGAACACAGGGTCCGGAGGCCTTTTCCCCACCCTGGGGTGAGGGTGGGAGCAGAGACAGGCAGGCCGAGGGCCCGGTGGGCAGTAGCCCTGGTTGAGGTACTGTGTGAGAGGCTGAGATGTGGGGGTCAGGAAGCCAATGCTCCCATGGCCCAACCTCTACTGTGAGTGGTGGGGCCTGCTCCACGGCCTTGGGACAGTCCTGTGAAGAGTGGCCTTGTCCTTCCTGAGGCAAGCCACACTGACCCCCCCACCTCAGCACCCCAACAGCCCCACCAGGTTCTCACCTAGGGCTCCGCCCTGGGTAATGGCACTGCCTGGGCACAGTTCAGGCTCTGCCACGTGAGCCTCCCTCTCTACCTCTCTCTAACGACCTGCCTGAGCAGGGTCAGCTTGCCCCCAGGGGCCATTCAGGTATGCCTGGACACACTTTCGAGTGTCCTGACTGGGTGAATATGTGTGTGCGCGTGCGCACATGCTACTGGTATCCAGTGGGTAGAGGCTGGAGAGGCTGCTAAATGTGCTAGGGTGCACAGGACAGCCCCCACACCAAATGCCAACAGTGCTGGGGTGGAGAGCCTCCCAGTGCACTGAGCCTCGCAGGGTCACTGTGAGGATTGGCTGAGCATTTTAGCAAGAAGCTTGGCACGCAGCCCACTCAAACAGCAGCTGCCATGGCCATACTGCTGCTGCTGCTGTGAGCGGCAGTGGTTGTCTGCCCTGGCTCACGGTGACCCCACACACAGCTGCTCAGCCCTGAGCCACCCTCCCGAGCAAGTGTGGACTGGTCTGCTGAGATCTGGTTTTCACTGAATCTCTGAGCAGACTACCAGGCCTTTCTTTCTACTCTGTCATTGTTGGGAAGCGCTGCTGACACCTGTTCAGCATCATCACAACACACACAAGCGCCCGCTGGCAGACAGGTGGTGGCTGTGCACGAGGGGCATTGGCTGGGGGTCGAACCTGGCTCTCCCACACAGAAGGGGAGAAGTCGACCAGTGAACTGCCTTGCCGCTGCCTCCACTACCACTGTAATGAGACCGAATTACATTTATTATTAAGCTCCTACTAGGTGCTAGGCAGGGGACCTGGCAGCGTAGTAGTTATGCATTGGGCTGCCAACTGCAAGGTCAACTGAGAAAAATAAGGCTTTTGACTCCCATAAAGAGTTACAGTCTCGGCAACCCAAAGGGGGCAGCTCTACCCTGTCTGTAGGGCTGTTAAGATTCAGCATGGACTCGGTGACCGTGAGCTTGGATGCTCTGGACACATTCCTCATGTGACAGGGCTGGGGGCGGGTGGTGGTGGGGTGGGCGCACTTCCCTAGGCCCCAGGGATAGAGACCTGCTCCCTCTGCTGCCCTGTTGCCTCTGAGCCCTGTCCTTGCTTTATTTAATGCTCAAGCCAGCGGATTGTGCACCCAGCCAGGGGTGGCTCCGTGTCAGAGGAACTGCCGATGGAGTGTCCACACCTGGAGAGAACCCCGGGCCAAGGAGCTCTCCATCTCTGGCAGCTCTCGGGCCTGGCTGGGCCGCAACTCAAACCGCAGGCTGCATCAATCAAGGGTCAATCAATTACTGGGCCGGGTTCACCTCCGGCAGGTGGGGGCCCCCATGGGGGCAATGCAGGGGCTGGCGGCAGTGCCAGCCAGCTAGTCAGCTACCCGAGGGGGCCTCCCAGAGAGGTGACACTGGGTGGGGCTGCTCCCAAGAGGCGCCCCCACCAGTCAGGAGGGGACATGCCAGAGACTCTGACGTAGGCTCTGGCCTGACAGAGGATGGCCTTGAAGGTCGGTGCTCACAGCAACTCCTAAGACTGACCTGCCCTCAGACTGCAGCTCTGCCACCTCTGGGCGACTCTGGCCACGTTACTTGACACCCCGAATCTCACTTGACCCACGTACGTCATGGAAACCGGAGGAGCACACTCAGGATGGAAGGATGATCCACGAGCCTGCCCCAGACCCTGCACCCCAGCAAGCACCGCAGACACCTCCCGCCACAATGCCAAACAGCCCCGCATGTGCATCCACAGGAACCCACTCGGTGATGGTGGCGAATTTAGTTTTTGGTATGGTCCATCGAAACCAAAAATTCACTGCCATCGAGTGGATCCGACTCATAGTGACCCTACAGTACAGGGTAGCACTGCCCCTGGGGATTTCCGAGACTCTCACTCTTGATGGAAGTAAAAAAGCCTCCGCTTTAGGTTTCTAACTGTTGACCTGTGTTTAGTAGCCTAACCCATGACCCACTACACCATCAGGGCTACACACACACACACACACACACACACACACACACACAGTTGGCATCAAGTCAGCTCTTGACTCATGGTAACCCAATGTGTCAAAAAATCTACAATATTTCGGAAATAGATCTCCAGGTCTTTCTTTCTTCGAGTCCGCCTCTGGGGGGACTCGAACTGGCAACCTTTCAGTCACTAGCTGAGCCTGCCCATCATTTGCACCCACCAGGGCCCCCATCACCACAGTGGTTGATACAGCTGAGAACTTGTACTTACCAGATGCTATTAAGTACATTGTAGCTAAAGTATAAAAATGAAGATCATAAGAATA